CCGGGGCTCCGGGGAATGGCGCCGCGTCCTTCGCCCAGGAAAACGTGCGGGACACAGCCCCGGCAAGGCTTTTACATTTTACAGCACCTGCGGTCTGCCCGGGCCTGCCACCTGCAATTTTCGAGGAATTTCACCAAATTAGTTTCACCTGGACTTAATATTTTGTAAGTTTTAACCTGTAAGCAGTAGATGTAAACCCTAGAGTTAGTCTCTGAGTTTTGGGGAAAGTTTATTGTGTCTTTCTGAGCTCACTTTTCTCAACTGCAAACCTGGTGTGTCTTTAGCTTTTCAGGGCTGCTTTAGGCCTAGTTTTATTTTAAGCATTTTGAGGTCCTTAGGCTGCTTTTAACAGCACAGTGAATTTATTTCCTAAAAAAAAAAAAAAAAAAAAAAAAAAAGGAGAGAGAAGAAAAGCATACCATAGAAGCTAAAAATAGGAGATAAAAAGTTTTTATCTAACCACAACTTTGTGCATTGCATAGAAAAAGCTTCCAACAGGACATGATGATGAAGCAGTTCATGGCCATGTTAACGAAGAATGAAAATGAGCATCCCCCACCCACCAAACTGCTGGATCTAGCAGGACAGCTTTGCCAGGAGCTCCAGAGCTCTTCTCCTAGTCTGGAGAAGCTGGTTGAAGCCATGATGAAATGCAAGAACAACAGAGATTTTCTTACTAACATCCATGTTGTCCGAGCTTGTGTGTCCGTTCACATCCATAAAGGGCAACATGATGCAGCCTGCAGACTCCTGGAGGTAGGAATGTGTTCTTCAGTTCTTCATGGAAACAAAAAGCCATGTTAGAAAAACAGTAGTTGGGAGCCGTTAGAGCAGCAGTACCTGAACTGCAGCACATGGAGCACTTCCAGCCCGTGTAAGGCAGTGGAAGGTGAGAAGTGCATTGCTGACCTGCCAAAGCCTTTGCTGCAGGCACTTCGAGTTAATCAGCCAAGGAGAGAAAGGTAATTGGGTGATTATGGGGTTGGCTGTAGCAGGATTTTTGGTTCTTGGAGTTTTTAACAATCTTAGGGCTCAGGACATAGAAGTATTGGGAAGCCCAAGATTAGGGGGCTTGGCAGGGTGGGAATGTATGAGGCTGGATGGTGCCACTCAAGGTGAGGGATTTTTGGCCTCTAGATCTGGTAATGCAGACATTTGCATCAGGGGAAAAGAAGGAATTAGGCAGCTCCCTGTGTACTTGAGGGAAGGTACAGCCAGCCATATGCTCAGGTAATACTACTAGCTCTGTCAAACCAGTAGGAATCCCTAAGTGTGTTTCTGTTGAGGGTTTTCTCCTTTATACACAGTCTGAGTGACTCTCTGGAAAGTTTGCTTATGCACAGTTTTGTTTTAGCATTGCAAGGCACAAGAGAAGGAAGAACTGGTGCAGCTTTGGCATGAGGTTCACTACCAGAGGGTTATGGAGAAGCAGCAGACAGATGTTCTGACACCACTGCAGAAATTCCGTTGCAGGAAGAGGTATTGCACAGTGGGGAAACCAAGATTTATATATTTTTTTCTCTGTAGTTTGCAGATGCAGGGGCTCCAGATGCAGAGGCTGGTTTTACTGCTCAAGATGCTGCTTCTTGGAGCTTGGTTTTTCTTGGTATTTTGACCACTTTGGCAATGTGAGAAAATTCCCATGAATGCAAATTATTCCTTTTGGGTCCTTTTTAATCCCATTTTCTCCTGTGTACAGGAATCCTCCACCTCTTTCCCTTTGTCCTGATGGTTTGAAGAATCGAAATTATTCAGAAGAAGTACGCCAGCACCTGTTCAGGTTTGCTGCAGAGGTGACAGCAAATCCAGACAAGAAACAGAAGGTAGGGATATGCTAGGGGTACTTCCAATCAAACCTCTTTGTCACAGAAAAGCAGGACACTGTAATCAAGAGTCTATAACTGGTTTAATTTTTAAATCCTTGTTTTCAAAAGGCTTACTGGGGCTAGGATTCCTCATATGTGATCTTTCCCTAAAGGTTTCTTTAAAAAATCATGAGGTTCATGCTAAGTAATTTCTCTTGCTGTGGACAAATGTTGAGGGGCAATAAATTCCTCACTGGGTTTTTAACAGTTTTAATTTTGTAGTGATTGAGCACAGGCAGCCAAACAGCCATCACTCAGCAGAGCTCTATTACAATGATAAATAGTTCTGACTTGACTGAGTGACAACCTATATAAAATTGCACTTTGTTCACCACAACATATTTTGTGCTGACTTTTCAAATGCTGGTAATTTGATGTGATAACACAATAGGCTGTGTTGGTGTATGCATGGATCTGCCTTCTTTGGACAGGGACAGATTTGTAATGGAAGAGACGTGTGAATTAAATCAACAAGCACTGTTGATCACTGCCTTGCCAGGTGAGGGCTTCAGACTTGAATGTCTGCCTCTGTGAAGCTGTCATTTTATGGGAAGTGCATGGTTTGGTGAGGGCATTATCTGGTGAGCAGTATAGAACAGCAGTGGCTTCCTTAGCAAACAGATTGTCTGGGAGTGCAGGGTGGAATTTGTGTTTTCTATCAGCTCTGAGTTTATAAAATGGTCTCCTCGATGGGATCCACAAGGCCTATCAGAGACCTAGTGAGTAAATGCCTCTGGCTTTGGAAGGTCTCTTGCTGGACTGCTTTTGGAACTGAAGGGAAATGCTTGATTATTTGGATGTGATTTTTTTCCTTTGATTTCTCCCTACACGTGGGTTTGCAGGAGGAACTGGCTCGGGCCGTGAACCTGCGGCCAACCCAGGTCTGTAACTGGTTTGCAAATTATCGACGCCGCCAGAAATCCCGCCTTGTTCGCGTGGAAGAGCTCAACAATTCCTGTCCTGAGAGGGCTTTGGCTTCCCACAGAAGTGAGCCACAGGATAAAGGATCCAACACTCCACAAACTGCAGGTTTGTCTCTTCCTAATGGGTTCAGGATGTGGTCCAGAGAGGTGAAAATCAATTTGAAATTCCCTCAGGAAGGGAAGGATATTGCTTGTTCAGAACAGCATTATGTGCTGATGGATCAAGTGGATGCTGGAGGCCTCTGCTTCAGTGGAGTGCCTCGGTGTTGGGCTCCAGGCTGTCACTCCAGAGGAGCAGACACTGCTAACGCCCGTGCAACAGCAGGTGAAAAGAGATGCCTGGCTTTAAGGAGGCACCAAATGAAAGCAAATACATGGGAAGCAGCAGGTTTAGCTCTCAGATTCTGGAATAAGGGCAGTGTACTCCAGGAAAACCCAGTATTTCCATGTCCTTCCACAGACACTGAACCAAACCTCAGTCACAAGGAACACAGGGGTCTTGCTGCATTTGGCAGATTGGACTTGTTTCTTTGCCTTTTGGAGTAATCATTAGCATTGTTTCACCTGCCTGGCCTGCACCTTTCAGGTGGATCTCATGTGGACATCAGCCCTGGGCAAACAGAGATAACCCACATGCCCTGTGAGCCAGGACAGGAGCAGTCAGCTGCAGCTCTGTATAAGCCTCCTGAAGGGACATATTTAAAGATGCTGGAATCCAGGTGATGTATGGCATCTTTACAGTGACAGTTCAGAAATGAAGCAACATCTAAATGTATTCACAGAACTGACTTCCATGTTGGTTCCTTGGGGACATCACCTGGGAGCCTTGCCACCACTGATGGAGATGTTCCATGTCCACTCAGAGCAGTTCATCTCCCAGCTGTGGAGGGCAGGATTCAGAGGTTTTGCTGGGGGTCCCCTTTTGGCAAAGCAGTATGTCTGGCTGATTCATTTTCTCCATCATTGCAGCTGTGTGCAGAGCCCTGAGCTGTATGAAGCTGGAACAAGCATGGCTTTGTTCACCACTCACAGCTCTGAACAACCTGTACCTTTTGGCACTGAGGCTGTGAGGGAAGCAGGAACCTGCTTTGGCTCTCCTGTGCTGCTGCCTGGAGAAGCAGTGAGCAGAGCTGCTGGCAGCCCCTGCCAGGGGAGCTTTGTCCTGCGCTCCTCCCAGTCCTTTCCCTCTGTGAATTATTGCCTGCCCATGTGGTGGCCCCCTTACAGCACTGGAGGAGGCTCTGGCTCCGTGTGGACCCCAGGTGTAGAAGGTTAGTAAAACTGCACCCAGATTGTTGACCCTAAGACTTCCAAGCTTCTTTTCCCATTGCTGTAAACATTATTGCTCACTTAAGTGTCCTGATGAAGGAGAGCAGGGCTTGTTTGGAGCTTTGGAGTTCCTCTTCCATGATAGTTCAGTGAGAAAATCTGCTGATTTAAGGTATTTAAACAGACACACTTACCTGCTCTTTTTCCTAAACTGCAACCACTTCCATAAGATAGTGGTGGGTTCCTTTTGGTGTATCCATTGAGAGAGTCCCTCCAAGTGTTGTCTGCTCACCTTGCCCTCTTGCAATGTTCTGGGTTTTTAATGTCTGTCATCATTAAGATATTGCCTGAGAAAAGTCTGGGAACTTAACTGTGACATGGTGCTTGTCTTCAAGTACATGTTTTCACTTTCCTCTCCCTCTTGCTATTTTTTCTTTCTTTCTCTTTGTCTTCTTCCTGTCCTGTCTTGTTCAGCATTCCCACCATCCTTTTCTCCTTCTTCAGAACAGGCTTGATAGGATAAGTGATGCCCACTTGCTTTTGCCATCAGTGTGTGGAGCAGGAAGGGCTGTAACTGCCATTCACCCAGGCTCTGGTGAATGTGGAGCAAGGAGAGAAGAAATAGCTGGGTCAGAGGTTGGGGCTATGTTATCTGTATCTGTACTTGTGTTTAATTTGAGCATTTACTTCAGCAGGTTTCAGAGTTCCCTTGAGCGCAGCCCCTCAAGCTGGCTGTGTTGAAGCCAGTTCAGAAAGAATCATTCAGCAGTCAGATTTACAGGATGAAATCTTAATCCCTAGAGGAGGACAGCTAGGGACCCTGGAATCTATTGCTCACAGGTAAAAGGAGGGAAAGCACAGGGCTGCCTAAAGGCAGGAAGAAAAGTGGTGCAGAGTCCAGCCATGTCCTGATGTCCCTGTTGAAGAGAGTTGCAGAAATAGTGACACACCTCATTCCCAGGGACTGCTTCTCCTTGTGTCCATCCTTCTTTGCCAGTATTTATATCTGTGCATGGGTAATCTTGTCTAAGTATACAAGTGTGTGTGTGGCACAAAGGAGATTTGGAACCAGCCTAATCAGAGGAGATATGACCCCCTGCTTTTTAGGCAGGTTCAGTTTCTGATCTATTTGCTTGGTTTTGGCAGAAAAGCATAACCTGTACTGATCCAGTGAGGGCTGGGTTGGTAGGGCCTGTACTTAATCCTAAAATAGTTTTTGTAGCTTCACAACCTCATGACAAGATTATTCCATAGCGCAAGCTTTCCAGATTGGAAGATAGAAAGACAGGCACTGTTCTCTTTCTGTTTTCCACCTATAACAAAGGTTTCAGATTTCAGATTTTCCCAGGGAATTGAGATAAATTCAGAGAATGCAAAACAACAAAAAATTCGTGCCATTTTCCATATGTTATACAACTTCCATAATGTTACATAAAAATAAACACTGCCAGACATTATGGGCTTCCTTTAATTTACTGATCTGCAAGGCAGAGCAGGAGCAGCAGCCCCATTTTTAACCCTCTGCTTGACACTGACCAGTGTTTGTGCCAGCATGATGCTGTCAGTTTGTCAGAAAGGGAGGTAGAAGAAGCTTTATTCCCACTTTAAAAATGAGGAAGCAGAGGCACAGAAGGCTTTGTGGCTTGTTAAACAACAAGTAAATGTAGTGATTCACTGAAGATAAGATTGGTGAGGCTTTGGCCCCAGTTCCCTGCAGAAATCATTTCTGCCTTTTGCCCCTGTTCCTCACTTGGCCTGGTGCCTCGTTCACATTCATGTCAGACTCCTTGCTCTGAATTGCTGGGGAGAACCCAGGTCAGACATTGTAAACCTCAGGCTGTGTTTTGGGATTCACAGTTTTAAACAGTGGCTAAAGATCATGAAGGATCAGCAAGGCTTGTAGGCAATATTTTGGCTGGATTTAAAATTGCATGTTCTGACTCTGGAGTGAGCTCATGTTTATTTTTAAAATATGTTCTGCCAGTAGAAGAAATCTATGGTGAATGTCTCCTGGTTGGGTATGTCAGTGTGCCAGGCATCCACACACCCTTTATCATATTCCTGTGAGGGGCAGGGCTTGCTGCTCTGTGGGCACCTTTTGGTGGGGACATAGGGCTCAAATAACCCTATTTGTAAACACTGTTTAGTGGCCTGGTCCAGGTCCCCCTAAACCTTGACCTCCTCAAAATTCCATGAGTGCTATGGAACATCAGTCTTTTTCAGAAGCGAGTGATGCTTGGGCTGCAATTTCAGCAATTTAATTTTGCAGTTTCTCTCTAGGGAGCCAGGAGAGCTGGTGTGGGTAGTCTTGGGTAAGATGACTGCTCAGTCAGTGAGGATCACCTGTGTTATAAGGCAGAGCCCCCTAACAGAGGCAGGGGCTAGAGAGGAGTATTGGTACCAGAGTCCTCTTGAGCAGTTGTGGTGCAATGAGCATCACGACTCATGGGGGCAAGAGATCAAACTGTCTGATCAAGGCAAGTGAGTGTTGATGTCTGTAAGGACAAGGCAGTGATGTTATCCTGGTTTTAGAGGTAAGAGTAACACAAAGAGAAGGAAATTATTTAGCCAAGATCACCTATCTGGAGTGGACTCAGTGTTATGCTCTTCTTGCTTCCTGAGCACTGGGATAGAGCTACAAGTCAGCCAAAGGACCCTTAATCTGCTTGTCTCATTTTTACAGATGCTCACCTGGACAGGATGTGGCCTCAAAGCTTATCAGAACAATTCCTGTTGATTTCTTTCATGGGCTTTTTACAGCCACTCCTACGCACCTGGGCTGTGTCCAAACCTCTTCTGATCTACAGGGCTGTGAGGTGGGAGTGTGAGAGGGAAGCAGGCTGGAAGCTGACTGTCTCCATCTGCTTCTGCTGCCTGAGAGGAGGGCTTGATCCAGCAAGTGGACTGGAAGGCCCTGTGGGACACCAAACAGATGCTCCCCCTTACAAATAGGGGTGGTGTGTCCTCTTCACTCTGCAAGTCAGAGCAGGTGGAATGTAGCCCAGCTAATGGTTCTTGCAGAGTGGAAATCTTGTGCCTTCCATTTCAGAGAGAAAAGCACACTGAGCAAGGCATTCTGCATTTGAGCCAGCATATTGATTTAGAAAATGTCAGTGCTGAGATGTTCATGGTGGCTTACAGCTTCTGCCTGCATTTCTGGGATTCCAGCTCAGAGTGCTGGGAATCCTGCTGCTGTTGGGCTCTCCCCTTTGGACAGCCCAGCAGCCTGGCAGGGGCAGGCAGCAAGTCCCAAACCACCATCAGAGGCTACTCCTTGCCATGTTGCATAACTGAATTGCAGAACTCGTTGCTAAGGGCACTGTGCATGTCGCTGTAAGTGGGCTGTAAAAAACATGAGACAAATGCTTGAGAGGGTGGCAGAGGGAGTTGAGCCCATTTGTCATTAGGAAATGTGACTCTGAATGCAGCCTCCAGCAGAGCAGTCCCAGGGCTGCTCCCTGGAACCTGGGGAGCATTCCAAGGAAGGGAACTTGACACTGATCCTGTTGGTTCTGTTCTTTCCTGTACTCCACTATTGGGCACCTCTTGTCTGGGTCCAAATGGACACACACCTTGGGCTCTTCTGGTGGTGGTTTGGGCACTGTTCTTGCATTAGAGAGACTTTTGAGTTGGTGATGATGGGAGAGAACATCCCATTCTTGAGTACCCAGTGCCCACAGGCTGATGTGTTTTGTGAGGCTGGCAGAGCCTCCAGGGCAGTGTGAATGTGCCCCAGACTCCACTGGTGGCCTTGGAAAGCTGGAGCAGAAGTGTAGCTAATGTTGTGTCTTTGTCTAAAACCACATAGTTTGACTCTTAAGGTCTCTGCTTTTAAAACATGTTCCAGGAGCTTTGGTAGACACCTCCTTATTTATGGGGAGTGTTTTGGGGCAGAAGGAAAGTTGCCAATTGAGATGTGATTCCCTGTATACTGCTCCTGGTCAGGGCAGACTTCCCACTGCAGAACCTGTATTTTCAGGCCATAACAATTTTGAGAAATAGGACAGGTCTTTAGACAAATTAACAGAACTCTATCAAATGACCAGTCCTGCCAACAACCTCTCTTGTCCTGCTGCAAAACATTCCAGTAAGAGGCAAATAGAACATAAATACAAATGCACTTGTATATAATATTTTTTTCCAGTTCCTCTCAGACTGTGTTTGGCAGCATTCAGTGCCCACCTGTTTCTGCACCCTGTGTGGAAGAAAGCCAAGCCCTGGGACAAAGCCAGGTAAGAACACACCTAAAGTTCAGAGAAAGGAGCTCTGTACACACAATCCCCTGCAGCTCTCTCAGAGGAGATGTGGAATCTCATATCATATTCAGTATGAAACATGTTTGATCTAAGCATAGCTCCTGAAGTCCAGTTCAGGGCAAGCTGGGCATTCCCTGGCTAACACCCAGCAGATAGTAGAAGGAAAGGTGGTTTTGTTTTTTCCTACTTAAATTGCTAATCAGACCCTAATTTTACTAAATATGTCATTGAAATGGTGACCAAAAGACCCTGTGCATATCCAAAGTGTCATTGAAATTTTCAGCAATGGAGGGCTCACCTATAGAACAATCACACAAAGATGGCTGCTTGAGATCCTCCTCTCTAAGGTGTTGTGCACAATTTGACTCTGTTCTCTCAGATCTCTTAAAATGTTTAATGCAATTTTCATTTGCAAGTCTGTGTTATTGTGGATGAAAGGGGATTTTGCACTGTTGTGAGATGGCTGATGGCAGTACACAGAGCAGTGTGATTATTGGCCAGGATAAAGAAGGTACTTCCATGCTGTGGCTGCAGTCTGCATTCCTTCTGATGGGGACTTGAAGGCAGTAGAGAATACAAATTAGAAATCTTGTGCTTTCAAGGGGATGGGAGCACATCTCTGAATTGTTACCTAAAAACAGGACCCAAGGAAGCCCTGTCTGAGCTGTACATGGATGTATTTTTTGGCTTCACATGTGTTGGTCTCGCAGTCAGTCAGCATCCATTGCTGTTTCCCTTTCAGTGTGAGCTGCTGGGGAAAACCTTTTCAAAAGAGATTACAGAAAGCAGGACCCATATCTGCTGGCCTCATTATGAGAAGTGGCTGCAGCTCTGAGGGCAGTAACAGAACCTCTTTTGAGTCTCTGAAAGCATCAATATAAAGATCTGTATCTTGGAAAGTGGCCTTTTTTCCAGCCATAATGTACACCAGACGAGAAGGAAAGCTTTGGGCATTAATAATGAATGAGCCTTTTCTAAGATTCCCAGAGCAGGCTGTCTCTAGCTGGTTTTCATCTTGCTGTTCTGCATCCTTGCACTGATTTTTGCAGTGGTGAAGAAACATGACACTCAGTACACTATGGGCAGAGAGCAAGACACTGAGTGATGCTTGTAGATGTCAAATGGGACATCTTCAAATCTTTGTAATAATTACTCAGTTCAAGAATTCAGAAAAGCAATTTTTGCATATTTTTGTGTGAGCTCTATGAAAAGGAAGAACTTGAATGGGTAAATGATTTTACAGCATTCTACAGACTTCCTGGGCACTTTGCTTCTGCTGAATCAACTTACTCTGGGCTTGTGGCAAGAATATGCAGATGTTTGGTTCCTGTGCCTGAACCACAGAGGTGCAGGTGAAAACTTTCTTTTGTCCATGACTCAATTTTTTTGGTAGGTCATACATCCTGTTAGAATCAAAATGAGAGTAAAATGAAAGCAAGCAAACAAACAAAAAAATGAATTCATTTTGGAGATGTTTCATTCTCTCCTTGAGCAGAGCTCCCTTGTCCAGGACATCACTTCCTTAATGATTTCATTCCTGTCTTACCCTCTGCCAGTTACTGCCTTTTATAGGAGTCAAAGCCTCGGGCAAAGTGAAGGGAATTGCTCTGCTCTGAATTCCTGGGAGTTGGATTTGGCATGGACTGTGCTCATCACTTCTACAACATGGATTACTGTGAATGTGGAGGGGAAGCAGGCCTTTGTCCCTCCATGCACACAGCCCTGACCAGTGCCATCCCCTCCCATCACACACCTTGTGCTGCTCTCTGCTCAAAGGAGCTCTTCCACCATAACCAACTGGGTTCAAATCACACCTGCTGAGGCTTTGGCTCCTTCCTGTGTCTTTCAGGTCCCGGAGGATCCTGTTGTTGACTCACTAACCAACGACATGTTCCAGGCAGCATGCCTGCTCTGTGAGTTTTCGGAGAGTGCATGGATGTGAGCTGCCTGCAGATACTCCATGGGTCTGCAGTTCCCCAGGAAACACTCCATTGTTTCCTTTTTTCCCCTTTTTTTTAATAGAAGAGGGGTCTGACAGGGAGAGGAATAGAGTGAGGGAGAAAGATGGAGGTGTGTTCAATGGTTACAAAGTTTGGTTTAGTTACAGTTCTATTAAGAATTTTGCAAAGCATAGAAGAAAGCAAAGGTGCACTGTGGACTGTAGGTTTTTCCTGGAGTTGTCTGAAGCTGCACTGTAAATGTCAAAATTATCAAGGCACTGGTTCTGTGGCAGTAACATAGATCTAATCATAGCACTGGCCAGATCCGAGTTGCATCATGAAGGTAAATGAAGCTCCTGTGCTCAAAGGAGTAAAATTTGGTCACATTGCCTTGCAGTGGATATTGGATAACCTTTTATCAGGCTTGGAAAATAAGGTCTCAGTAAGTGCTGGTAAAATATTGCTATTTCTTATCAGTGCCTTCCTGTTTTACAGCAGGGTGTAACTTCTGGAGTGTTCCATACTCCGTGGTGTCACAGGTGACACAAACTGGAGGCCAGCAGAATTTTCAGTGCTAGGGCATGCCATTGAATTGAGGTTTAATACAAGAAGTACCCTTCATGCAGGTTTAAAAATAACCCTGCAAGTTATAGGGGGGGGGTTTGGGTATTTTCATAAAGTGTTACTGTTTTTTGAAAAACTTGTATTGCAAAATGTATCCCCATTGCCAGACCTCCAGCCCAGAGACACAGGCGGAAGATGGCTCCCTTACCTTTTGTTCCAAAGTTTTCAAGTAAAGGTTTTCACTTACTGTTTCTCCAGAGTTCATTTCTTTCAAGGTAAGGATGTGAAGTGATAACTTTCACATGTCAATTAGGTATTAAAGGGCAGGACCAGCTGTCCTGGGAACACTTGCGGGTGCTGAGAGCCTGAAACCTCCATTATTTTGGTGGCTCTCACCAGAAATAACCACTTTTGTTTGTGTTGGGAACAGCGGTGCTTGCAAAGGTCACACACGTTATCGTTTATTGCCGGCAACAGCGGGGCCGTGAGTGAACCGGGCATTTCTACAGGGAGCAAAGACGC